TGCGCTCGAGCTGAGAGTTCTGTCATGCTTGCTAGTATGGGGCATAACCTCTTTTCAAGTTCGTCGGCCACGGACTGTTTAAAATCGGCCAGGAAGCCCCTCATGTCGTTCCTGGTGAGGGGGGCCTCAGTGCGCTCCGAGTGAGCCTGACTGCTCATTTCAGAGTCAGAGTCCGTCAGGGGGGCCTCTAAAGATGGCGCCCGGGTTTGCTCAGGCTTCTGCCTGAAGATCGGCGCCACTGCCGAGTTACGGGCTTTTTTCCCGCCGCCCATGGAGAGGATGATTGCAGGCTGTAGCAGGGGTAAAAAGGGATGGGTGCAGGATATGTGGGGGGCTCAGGTGCTGTTGATGGCTTCGGATGCAGGCTAGGCCTTTGCGGAGCTAAGGGATTATGCTGCCATCTTCGTGCAGGGTTAGGCTCCGCCATAGCCCATGGCTTTTAAGTATGCCAAAGGGCCAATTTCAATGATTAAAGCATAATTGTACCATTGAACAGGACTTTTTGATAAAGACTGAAATATTGAAAAAATGATTTCCTAGAGAAAGAGTATCCTGAGGTGTGGAAAAAAATATCAATAATTTAGATAGAGGTTCCCTCCTAAAGTATCACAATAACAAGACAGAATCCCTTTAATAAAATAAATTACTGATTGTAGGTCATTGTTTGATTAGACTAAAATTGGTCTGTGTGTGTGTGTGTGTATATATATATATATATCATATATATCATAGTTACATAGCTGAAAAGAGACTTGCATCCATCACATTTCCGATGGACGTCAGCGTCTTCTCACTGTAATTTTCACAGTGAGAATCGCGGAAGCGGCCTCTAGTGGCTGTCAGTGAGACAGCCACTAGAGGCTGGATTAACCCTCAGTGTAAGCATAGCAGTTTCTCTGCAGCTGCAGGGTTAAAACTAGAGGGACCTGGCACCCAGACCACTTCATTCAGTTGAAGTGGTCTGGGTGCCTATAGTGGTCCCAAAACAGAACCCTGAGGGACACCACTTACCAGTTTCATCCAGCTTGAAAATTTGACATTAATGTGAAATGTTGTGCCATATTGCTGCTTAAACAAAATGCAGAAAGAATTTCATTGAATCACAGCTAATCCATATAGTAAAATTTATATTACTGTGCAGAGCTATATTTAACTAAATATGGTTGTGGACATAAAATATGGGTATAAAACTATACTAGAGCTGGTCTAAACATGAAAAGCTATAATATGGGTCTGTGTAACTCATCCACCTCTATTTTAAATAGGGCTGTTTTTTATTTTTTTTATAATGGCTATAAGACATACATTTTATTTAATGACATATCCTTGACTTGGCCATTTAACATGGCAATATATCTTAGTCCAGGGGTAGTCAACAGTTT